TAAAAACAAGCACACCAACTCCCTGGCGCTGGCTTTCAACGGCCTCCTCAGGGCCAAGCTCGCCGAGGCCGCCACGGCCACCATAAAGGAGCTCAAGTACTCCATCGCCGCCAACTACAACATCATCAACAGCATGATGGCCAACTCGCTCGTAGCCGGTACATATGAACTAGCAGCTAGGGTTCGTACGAAGGTGCATGAACTAATTCCTGTGGACTCTCTGCACGCACGGCCAGGGCTGAGGCAGGTAAAGACGGCGTGTTGCGGGCCCGGCCAGGAAGCTCAACGTGGAGGTGATGTGCAGCCACCTGGGCACGATGGCGTGACCCGCCGCCTAGCACGATGAGTACATGACATGCTTCACCCCACGCACGCCACTATCAAACGCGGCGTCGTAGCCCTCTTCTACGGCAACGGCCCCAAGTACGGCGAGCCCGTTAACTTTGGCACTCTGGTCACGGGCCAGAACGTATCTCCCACGATCAAGATGGTTGTCGCCGACGAGTGAATGATGGATGGCCACTAGTAGAAAAATGGCCATTCGAACCGGTTCGTGAGGACCATTTGTCCCGGTTCACGAACCGGGACTAAAGGGTCGTAACTAAAGCCCTCCACCTTTAGTCCCAGTTCGATCGGGAAGCGGTATAGATAGGGCTCCACGTGGCCGTAGCGGCTTGCCCAGGCAGGGGGACCTTTTGTCCCGGCTGGTGCCACCAACCGGGACCAAACACTAGTACAAAAAGGGGCAAATCTGAAACACATTAGTGCCGGTTTAATTTTGAGCCGGCACTAATGTGTCCATTAGTGCCGGTTCCAACGGCTAGCCGGCCGTTCTCATTAATACCGGTTCGTGGCGAACCTTTAGCACCGGTTCGTGCCACGAACCAGTACTAAAGAGAGTGGTGGCAGGATGTTGTCAGTCTGGGGCCCGTCCAACACCTTCAGTACTGGTTCGTGGCACGAACCGGTACTAAAGGTCGACGTACATAAACCCTTCGTCCACCCGAGCCACTCTGTTCTTCCCCTTTCCACTCACTTCCTCTGTTCTTCCCCTCTCTTCCTCGAGCTCCTCACAAATTTTGCCCAAAATTTGTCAAGATTTGAAGGCCTCCATCCATTCAAATGATCACAAAGGTTAGCAACTTTGTCGTTTCAACTCTCATTGCTAGATTAGCTCTTGCAATGCTTTGTATAGTGATTAATTTGGGAGGAATTATATTTTCTAGTATTTGATTTATATGCAATTTGAGGTCAAAAATAACACTTAGTTTGCATATGTAGGTGTGGTTTACTTACTGCCTTCTAAATCTCCGTCGTAACCACCGTCGATCGCCCGCACCGTCCCGTCTCCGGCACCACCTTGTGGTGAGGCTCTTGTTCATGAATGTTTTACATTACCAAATTGATGTTTGTGTGATTTGGATACATAGTTACTCCTATAATTATCTTACCCGTACGTTGTTTGTTATACATAGTGCCATGGTTTTGATATCCGTCCCCGTCGGCCCTCGTCCTTGTTATGATTCGGATGTGGTATATTCTCTTTTAAAACTAGTTGCTGGATTTCGTGTTTATGACAAATTATGCCCATCAAGTTGACATAGATATTTTTATCTAGGAGGTATGTGAACCAGAAATTCCAACCAACCCTATTGTCGAGAGGTTAAATTTAATTGAAAGAGAAAACAAGTATTTGAAAGAAAAATTGAAAAGAATTGAGGGGGAGAAGATGGAATTGGAGTTGCATGTTGCCGATGATGATCACAAGATCAAGATGGAGAAAATGAGGTTGAAGATTAGAAAGATTAGAAAATATGCCATTGATAGTGTGGCTTGGTATCATTATGCTGTTGGATCAATTGTTACCTTAGTTGCAATCTTGATCGCATTTGTTGTTGCATTTAAATTCTTTAGCTAGAGAGTTATTTGTATGTTGCATTTAATTAAGTGATGTATATGAACTTTATGTATGAACTTTATTTATGAACTTGTATTAATTTGGTCTGTTCGGTGTTGTGTAATGAAGATGAGCCGACAATGGATGTATGATGACCG